GCTGATCATTGTCATTTCTGCCACTTTCATGTGGTGAGATGGGGTCATAACTTTAGAGACGGCTGTTTCATATCAATTATTTTACATAAAATAATATTTCCAACCATAAATAAATGTTCGACAGCCAAATTAAAGAAACAATACCAATACAGGCTTACAGTTTAAATTCGACATTGTGTTGTCTACGATTAGACAGCTGATAACTCATTCCCGTACGTCGTAACTCTATAATGACCTTTGCTTATTGTCACATGTGCGCCGCATTCGTGATTGTTGCCGACGCCTGTTTGCAGGTCAGCCCACTACAGTTGTTATACATATCGAAAAACCGATAAACTTTTAGGCGAAAAAAGCACTATTTTAGGCCCATTTTTGATTTTTTTTGCGATATTAGGTAAAAACAGAAGCTTCTTATCCTAGGAAAAATAAAATGGGAAATCATTCAAAGGTGGCACACTACCTTTAACCACAAATAGGGGGTCTGATAAGCTTTAACCTGCTTCAAACATGTGCGAAGACTGCATTTTTGCCGTCGACAAAACTTGTACGGACATTCCGTACAAGTTTCCGAGCCTTCCAAAACTTGTACGGACACTGTCCGTAGTGTCCGTAGTGGTGGCGACGCCCATGTTAACGGGCCACTTTTGCGTCTAGTCTGTTGATGTTTCGTTCGTTTGACGTTCCGATGTTTCGGTCGGATTGCATTGACCTAAGTTTGGTCTAATAAAAGTGAAGCCTTTGAGCATATACATTGTATTAACCCCATTTAATGTTTTTGTTATATTCAAAACCAGTAGCAAGCACAATCCCTGTAACGTGTAATAGTGATACAAATTACCCCACCATGTGATACAACTCACCCAAGCCATGGGGCAAGTTGTATCAAAAACATTGTACCTACTATTCGGCAGGCCGTAGAAGAAAAACTGATAGAGGTAGCGGAAAAGTTACTTTGCACAAAAAAGCAGAAGAATCAAGGAAGGAGATAGTGTGGAAATAATGAGTTTATCACGGATAGTTACGAGGTTATGGGTCTTGGAGTAAAAACTGATACAACCCACCCCATTGATCTCCCCTATGCGAAAACCTTTTTGAGGGGTTAAATACCACACGCAGGTGTCTTTTCTTGGTCTCAAAGCGTAGTAACAAGAATGAGCTACATGATGGTGCCCAAAGGTTTGAGTAATCTGTGTTGGGTTGAGTGTCAGAAGGTTTCGTGCTTAAAGGGACCCTCCCACCTTCAAAAAAGTTAATGAATTGGCATGAAAGTGATGTCCCTTGGTTCAGAAAGAGCGAAAACGAATATCTACCAAATTTCACCGAAAAATATTCACTGGTTTTCAAGATATTAGGCTTTTACTTTTGTTTACTTTTTGGGATCTCCCCTGTTACTAGCGACTTTATTTGGAAGCAATAATTTGGCAGCCTTAAAGTGCGGCAGACGTTGCGCGCAAAGCAGCGTATACCACCACGTGTTAACGATGGTTTTAGTCTAAGATTTAAAAATCGTTAGATCTCCGCTGACGTCACAAATTCTAAGGGGGCATTCCAATGCATTAGCCCCTTAGAATCCGAAAACTGCAAGTTTGAAATTCCATATCTTCGAATTAAAGCATTTTTCGATGTTGTGAGTGCCCAAACCGGTATTTGCAGGCCATGGCCACCAATTTGGCTATCTCAACTCAAAACTAATGTTAAGGTGGGAGTGTCCCTTTAAGGGGGGGGGGGGGCGTTTTTTACCTATTCACCCTATTCTTCGACGATAGTTTCTCGTGCAACATTCCAAGTCCCGTTTATCATTTCTCCGGTTAAAAAAAAAAACTAAAAAGGATGATGAATAGGAAGTAAGAACGTATAAACTGAAAATACAGTGATCTTCCATATTTCGTATCCATTACCCTCCCATTGGCATTTGCGATACAGAGGCGGCCTGCTGAGTGCTGAACCTTTCTCCCAGTTACCTCCATACCAGACCTTGCGAACGGGGCGACACCTACGACGGTTACAGCAGCGCCACCCTCTGAGGCGCAGCTGCCGGGACCTTAGGGGCCGGTGCTACACTGCACTGGCGCCGCAGCGGCCCGTCGTGCGCCACCTACCGCCACAGCTGGACCTCTGAAGACGAGCCCTCCTCAGCGGGTCATAATGACTATCGTCACAGCCTGATGTTGGTGGACTAGCGAGCTATCGTCGCAAGGAAGCATTGAGAAACCAAGCTGCATAAGGTTTAAGGATTACTGATGTAGGTAGCTTTTATTCGATTTTAGGACTAAAGTACGTATCGCTAAAGTACGTAGGACAAAAGTACGTATGCAAATGTTCGTACGCAAATATACGTAGGCGATAAAGTTCGTATGCCAAAAGTACGTACGCAAATGTTCGTACGCAAAAGTACGTATGCAAAAGTACGTAGTGTATAAAGTACGTATGTCAAAAGTACGTACGCAAATGTTCGTACGCAAAAGTACGTATGAAAAAGTACGTAGTGCATAAAGTACGTATGCCAAAAGTACGTACACAAATGTTCGTACGCAAAAGTACGTATGCAAAAGTACGTAGTGTAAAATGTACGTATGCCAAAAGTACGTACGCAAATGTTCGTACGCAAAAGTTCGTATGCAAAAGTACGTAGTGTATAAAGTACGTATGCCAAAAGTACGTACGCAAATGTTCGTACGCAAAAGTACGTATGCAAAAGTACGTAGTGTATAAAGTACGTATGCCAAAAGTACGTACGCAAATGTTCGTACGCAAAAGTTCGTATGCAAAAGTACGTAGTGTAAAAAGTACGTATGCCAAAAGTACGTACGGTTCGTATGCCAAAGTACGTAGTGTATAAAGTATGTATGTTAGAAGTAGGGTATAGTCGTGTAAGTTGGGCCACTTTTTCTTTATTGCTGCTCTGTTGCCATACTGCAGGGAACTCATGATAAATTCATATACCAAATAATATAGCTTTGTCCATTTCGCCCATTTGCTCATCAAGAAATTTTGCTATGCCTTGTAACAAATGCTCATTAAATAAAGAATCAGAAAGGTATTACACATTGATCAACTTAAAGGGACTATCCCACCTTCTAAAATGTTGTTAAAACCAGTTAAATTGTGCCCGACTTTATAGATTGGATGACCAGGAACACGGTTCTGGCATTTATTTTTCATTAAACATCTTAGGCTTCCCATATTCCAAACACAAACTTTCAAATATCTGACGTCATAGCCCAAAATTTCCTCCTTCCCCAGGCCACATTACTGTCATAAAGCTGATTCTTTTTACTCTGTAGGCACCACAACAAAGTTCAGACCAAGTTTTAAGCGATTTTTCAACGAACAAACCCATTTAAATCAGAATGACTAAACGATGTGACGTCACACTAACGGTCGCTCCATGTTGAAGATAGGGCCTTGTACAAGGCCCATTTTCAAATGAAGGGAACGAATTTCTTCAACACCAAGAGGCCGCGGGGTTTGCAACCTAGATAGATAGTGGTTTCTGAACCTCGCCGCAAACTTGGCTATCTCAACTCAAACCCCATGTTAAAGGTGGGATAGTCCCTTTAACCCAAGGGTGGGGACGTACTTAATACCCTACGTACATTTGCTATACGTACTTTTGTCCGTGACGTACTTTTGTCCACATAGGGTAGACCGGGGCGGGCAAGTCGCCCCGCCGAGGTAAAACGCCTCACCGATGTTTCTCGGAACTGGCAGGGTTCTGGGGAAAGATCCTCTCTTCTGTTAATCTAGTGAATGGGGCTTCTTGCCTCAGGCCGTGGGGGTGTTTTGCCCTGGGGTTGGGGAAAAATGCCCCATTTGCAGTTGCTTCACAAAGCACTTCCTAGCTGGGAGTCCGATCATAAGTGAATGAATTTGAGGGGTGGAATTTAAAGTAAAATGTCCAAAGAACACATGACGTACGTACTTTTGTCCATACGTACTTTATACCCTACGTACTTCTGCGATACGTACTTTTGTCCGTGACGTACTTTTGTCCATACGTACTTTTTACCCTACGTACATTAGCTATACGTACTTTTGTCCGTGACGTACTTTTGTCCATACGTACTTTATACCCTACGTACTTCTGCGATACGTACTTTTGTCCCTGACGTACTTTTGTCCATACGTACTTTATACAGTACGTACTTCTGCGATACGTACTTTTGTCCCTGACGTACTTTTGTCCATACGTACTTTATACTGTACGTACTTCTCCGATACGTACTTTTGTCCTTGACGTACTTTTGTCCATACGTACTTTATATTGTACGTATTTCTGCGATACGCACTTTTGTCCCTGACGTACTTTTGTCCATACGTACTTAATACTGTACGTACTTTTGCGATACGTACTTTAATCCTACGTACTTTTGCTTACGTACTTTTGTCCTACGTACTTTAGCGATACGTACTTTTGTCCGTAACCCCTTTTATTCATCGCCTATAGTCGGAGGACGAGCGGAGGTAAACACTGTAAGTCATTACAGATGTCGCCACAGTCGTGAGCTCGACCTCGGTGGCCTCATTCGGCCGGTCGGGGTTATGAGCAGCTACTGTCCTCCCAGCGAATGCTGGCCAACTCTGATGGTTTCTAATGGTGTGAAGTGGGCCCCGCCCGGACGCCGTTGCTCGATAGATACGGTGCCGCTTATGGTGCGGGCCCTGGTGGGACGGACGGGATTTTTGACCGGAGAGAAGGGTTTGGTCGACTGAAAACCCCAGAAGCATGTATTGCCCGGATGTGAATGAATAAGCATGTGAATGAAAAACCGCGACGCGTAACGCCCTAAACTCGGAACAGCCAGATCCGGAGCGGAGCTTCCTATGCTGTTTGTGGGGCGGCTACCCCACCAACTTGCCATTTATTTGCTCGACCATTAAGCATTTTGTTACATACATCAGCCTTAGCCACTTTGTAAAGCTTTACGAGTGGTTTCGAATGCCCTCCCTCGTTGTCCCCGTCACAGCGAGGTGGCGCTGCGTCCATAAAGACTTCTGAATAATCACAGCAGCCTTTATTATCTACGTATTTACCTGGTAGAGCATACGACGAATCAGTACAAAAATACAGGCCACCCGACTCATTCGGTCCGGCGCACATTCAACATTCAGCCCGCCGAGCGATGCTGAGAATTTAGAAATTGGCGGAACAGAGTCGAGCGACCGCCACACACTAGTTGATTGGCGAGCGATGTACACAACGCAGGCGCCTTCTGTCATCTGCTGAGCCCGGATCGAACAGTCTGCGTGAGATCCTTTCGCCATGTGGGTGCCAGTGATGTAGATATAAAGCAGCCCTGCGGCGCTGCACCACGCCTCGCCCGGCTGGATGCCGGCCTCCGGCGACCACGGTCATACATGCAAACGGCGGGCAGCGCCGGCGGACAAACCACTCCCCGCACCGCGCAAGCTCGGTTGTAAAAACGTCGTAAAAATCATACAAAGGAATCCTAATCTTGAGCCACTAGTTGCTTCATATTATTGGTCCCCAGAAGGCAGCATAAAAGTTTCGACCATCGCACATTCAGACCATGCAAACCGCCCAACTGCACCGGCTGAGCCGGAATGCTCGGCTGGTTGGTGTTGGTGCTCGGGGCGCGGGGACGGTGCCGTTACTGGACCGGTCACCAGTCCTCCGCCACCGCAGCCCGGACAAACTGCCCGACATCTGACGGACAAACCACATAGCTGTAGTAATCTCCATGTCTACATAACAGCGCTCACGACGCGTCCCTTCACGGAACATGGCCGCCCCTTTGTCAGCACCAAAGGCGAGGCCATGTCCACTAGCGGAGCCGCCGGCCGGCCGCACGGACCGGCCTGAAGGACCGACCGCTCAGACCATGGACGACTTGCTCTGAGGCACGTTGCTCTCGGCCGTCTCGATCTTCTTGCTCAGCTCAGCGATGACATCCTTGTAGACGAACGGATCCAGGTTGAAGCAGAGCATGTAGAGCAGCCACCAGTCGCCCAGAGAGCTCTTCTTGCAGATCACCTCGATGGCATCCTTGGGCACCATGCGGTTCTTCATGTGGATCAGGCTGGGGCGCACGGCCGGCACGAAGATCATGATGGCACGCAGGAGCAGCACCACCGACAGCATGGTGGCCAGGATGATGTACCAGAACCAGACGAAGATGAAGGCCTTCTCGTTGACAATGTTGAGCGCCAGCACGCACAGCGAGTCGTGGCGGGTGACCGTTCCCGAAGGACCGAACTTGTGGAACACGCACTTGGTCAGCCGCGGGAAAACGTACACCTGTCGGACGGACAAACGGCGGTACGTCAGGGGTCGGTCAACTGCGGAGGACATTAGGCCAGCGTAGGCAAGGAGCGTAGGCCAGTTTCGGGTATGTTGGCTTGTGAGTGTTTATTTACGTTGTTGACTAAGTGAATGAGTGATCATTCAGTCTGTGGACTAAGACTTACTAGTGGTTATGCGGCATACGCTATACGTGGAAGGCTTAGAAGCCACCAGCCGCGGATCAACAGGGCCAAAAGCCAAGTGTCTCACTCAGAAAACGAGCCGAGATTACCGACAAGGAAGGCAGGGGACTGGTTCCGCCAAACGTGTCCTTGCAGCTGTGCGCCTCACTCACCATGGGGTCGACACGCTCTTCCTGCGGCATCTCGGAGAAGTTGAGCAGACGCGAGCCGTACGTGAAGAACTCGCCGTCGAAGAAGGCGTCCATCAGGTACATCTGGCCGATGACGTTCACCAGGCAGAGCAGCTCGCAGAAGAAGTAGCGGTACACGTACATGTCGTGAGACTGGGGACAATGTGATGCGATGTGATACGTCTGACGAACAATCGCACATGAGGAAACGCAAGGGTTCGATCGTAAAGACAAAGATGCAGTCGGATGTCACCTAATTTGACAATCTAAGTCTTCAGCTACAGCACGTTCGGTACCGGCCAAAACCACCTTGGTTGACTATGGTTGCTTTATCATGACAACGTTTTAATTTGACGAGAATATCTAAATCAATGAGATTTTACTCTGGTGAGCATCCTTGGTGAGAAAACCATCATAACTAAAACAGTTAATTTATAAATGACTCAGCAGAGGCTTTTAATGCCACTTGTCACCGGGTGGCCCAGAAGATACGCAAAGGAGCACTTATAACCACCCGTCTCCCCCTCCAGCCGCCCTTCCCAGCCCTCGTCCACATCCTTGACCTTTCCACAAATCTGCTCGTATGCGCAAAAAGAACGGTGACGGACCAGCGGAGCAATCCGGTCCCTTCGGTTCTACTCCCCTTTCCCTCTCATACTCACCCTAATATGACGAAGCATGTAGTCTACCAGCGTCTGCTTCTTCTTAGTGATCTCGTCCTCGGTCTTGAGGCCCCAGTTGAGGCCCATCACGACGGTGCCCATGATGTTGTTCTCCATGGCGTCCCAGATGAACTTGGGCGCGTAGCAGAGGATGGCCATGAAGGCGAGCACGAACACGACCCACTGGTAGTACGTGTAGTATTTGGTAGCCTCGTCATCGTTCCAGGCCGAGCCGACGTTTCCCACGCCGGGATGGGCCACCTCCTCACCCACTTGCCTGAGGGAACACCGAGCGGTCATACAGGTGATTGTTCCGAAAAGCGAAACCAGAGTATCAAGGCATCGGAGCCAGGGTATTGTTGAGAAAATCAGATTTCAGTAGCGGTTTAATGATGAACTGAATAATACGACGGGTATGATTTTCCTGTCGTTAGCCAGATCGATAAGCCGTTGATGATAGGAATAGCTGAACGAACGAAGCCGTTGATAATAAAGCTAAACGTACGAAGCCTTTGCTTATGCAACTGATCACATGAGCGAATCCAGAAAGGCGGTCTCGAACGCTTGGGGAGGGGGGAGATACCCTCGAAAACGTTTTTCCAAATACCTAAAAAAGAAAAACTCGTAGGATTTCGTGTCTTTATGCACCGGGGCGCAGTTTTAAGCACTTTTCTTCCGAAAAAGTTGTTTAGTTTTCTTTCTTTAAAAAAAAACGACAATTTTTAATAGATTTTGGGCGCTGCGAGGGGACGGTATTTGCCCGACCCCCCCCCCCCCCTTGATCCGCAAGTGACTGATGGTGCTTATAACCCTTCTTTGATACCCGTACCAAGTCCCCCCTTCAGTGTTTTACCCTATCAGCAGTCAGCACAGAGACAGACGGTCCATTGCTGACGAATCTCAATCGTCAGCATCGATCAGGTGACCGACAGCTGCCGTCAGCATCAGCTCAGCAGACTGGCTCAGCGCTCACGGCCGGCACCTTTGGTCTCCCCGAGACGTCTACCCCTCTCCCCAACAACCCTCCCCACCAGGCTCACAGCACCAGGCTCACAGCCCGATGCATGTGCTCGGTCTGATGACTGAATAGGGAGGATAGCTAGAAGCACGTACAAAATGCGCTAGCCGTCGCCCGTCCTCCCCCTCCCCGCTGCCTGCCACCCCTCGTCCCTCCCTGACGCCCCTGAGAAGCGTCGGCAGGTGCTGCCATCTGACGACAAGCGTAGGGAAGCTGGCTGCTCGAGCCGGTGATAGTGGCCTATGCAGCGCCGCAGTCTCCCAAGACGGCCCGAGACTACGGGGACTTCGACATGACTCGGGGACATCCTGGCCGGCCGGCGCCGGCTATAACGCCTCATCGCGCGCCGTCCGCCGTCAGCCAGCACCCCGCTAGGCTAGGGGTGCCGGCTGATCGGTCAACAAAGCGCTGGCCTCCCGGCGGGCGAGGCGAACGGACCGGGCGGACCGGGTGCCTGCTTGGCCTCGACTCCGAGAGGTGGCGCCGCCGCCGAACCGCGCCGGGGTCACGCGGACCCGCTGGGCGCTGCTCCGTGGGTCGGACCGGGAGGCCGACACGGAGGCGCAGTCGGCAAGTTATGTACCGCGCTACGTCACAGACTGTTCCAGGCTCCAGCTGTTGGCGGCCTCTTGCCAGGGATGGTAATTGGCCAATGCATGATGAAATATGCGAGCAGTTCCAGTCATACACGTGCTTTGATGCAAATACCGGTGCGAAGCGGTGCAGGATACGATTGCTGCGAAACCTTAAGTTGTTGGGAAAACCAATAGTTGTTAGAGAGGCGTAATGAATCGAAGGAATTCACATACGAAAAAACATAGCAGTGTGATTTATTATTTGTTACGTCCGCTGATTCTATCGTGGAGCCATAAATGACCATCGGTCGAGATCATCTCATCTTCTCGCGCGGGGAGCTTTTTGTTAGGTTATTTCACCGGGGGACCTCTCCAGCCATAGAACTAGCCACAGGAGAGGTGGGACAATTCAGTGCCAGCCAAAGGTACCGCAGCTCCCGGCTCAGGTCCGAGGCCCGCAAGGACCGACCCGCCCGGACCCATCCCTCCCTCCCCGAGCAGCAGACTCACCTGTAGAAGGCATCCGGCATTGTGAACGTGGACATGATCCAGCAGTACGAGTTGATGATGTGGGTGCTGATGTCGCCATCGTTGATGCAGTCGATGGGGTTGCCGATGAACTGGGTGGCCGTCAGGATCAGGATGAAGAGCGCCAGCAGGCCGGTGGTGAACTGATAGTGCAGCCGGAACACGGGACAGTCGTTGGACACGTCCCGGATCTTGCAGAAGCTCTTAAGCGTTCCGAACACCCCTAACATGGCGGCGGCTGGTGGGCGGGATGCGCTGTGTGTCGACCCGGCCCGGCTCGGCGCTGTGGTACGGGCGGCGCGCGCAGTCTAGCAGCTGACCACTGCTATACAGAGGCACAGGGCTGGCCGGCGACTGGCGGCCCGGCGGCCCCCGGCGATACGGCCGGCACGCCGCTCGTCCCGGCGCGCAGCCCGCGCCCGCCGGCCGCGCAGCGTGCCCCGCAAAGAGCGCGTTCATTGGCCGCCGGTGCTGCGCGGCCCTCCACGAGGCTATGTCTGTTTGGGCCGGCGATCCAGCGACCAATCAGCTGGCTCGCTGGGTGACAGATTATCCGGGACTTGGACACGCCGGGCGGGAACAGCCAGTGCGGTACCGCAAGCTACGCCCAGCCGCCGAGGACCGTTCCCCGCACAGCACCGAATTAAATGCGAGGGAGATTTGGTCAAAAAGTGCAAATGCAATTTAAAGTCAATTTTGAGCGAAACAAAAGGGTTGACTGCTCCCTAATGATTGATTTGAGCTCTAGTGGCATGGCTGACATGACAGCCACGAGTGTTTTATCACCAGGACCTTTTGATGTATTTTGGCTGTCTTGTTGAGCCAGCGAGCAAATCATACGCTCACAGAAATCAGAATAATGCAAATTCACGTATAATAAAGTTTCATCTCAATTACAAAGTGAAACAATGCGAATCGGATAGAATCGTTCGATTACTCATTTTGCAAACTAATTATAGATACATTAATCGGCAACCGAAATAGTCTCTTTTACATTTCTCAGATTAAAACTACGTCAGTATAAAACGGTAAATAGTGGAATAGAAAATTATATGCTTCACAGGCTTCACACATTTATTCACACACTTTTGATCTAGCACGTGCCTAGTGGTACACGCAAGTATAGAAGACCATTTTAAATGCATTGACGACGTGCTTTTGAATTTAGGCATTGCTTCATTGCCTATATACAAATGAAAAAGCCAAAGCAAATATGTGTTCCAGTGTAACCAAAGTGTAACGACTTAGTAGTATGATTTTTTTTAAATATAAATTCATTCATTGTTTCATATTCCCGTCCCGTGTCGTCTTCCAATAGCCTTCATGCTCCTACTCATCTCCTATCCTATTACTCGTCTCTCACTTATCTTTCTAGTTGAGGTTTATTTGCCATTGGGTCTACAGTGCAGGGATATTTCTATCTCGCACTCCTCTGAGATGCAAAGATAAGAATTTGTTGTATCTGCATCCCTCTGAGATGCAAAGATAAGGTCTCGAGGGTTCATAGCGAAAAATCAAGAGTTCAAGTGATGATGGGTCAATAACCGAACGACATTTTTAATGGTTGTTTATGGATGAAACTTATGAAATAAGAACATACTACTCTGAATCTATTTTTATATAGATGAATGCATTCAAATATAATATTTTATTAATTAAGAATAAACCTCAACATATGTAGAAAGATATAGGATTCCTCATGGCTCACTCGTGGAAGATCGGATATCTTTTCCTCGCGTGTTACAGAAAAACCTCGCTCCTTCGTCGCTCGGTTTTTCAGTAACCCGCTTGGAAAGATATCCTTATCTTCCACTCGGAGCCATGAAGAATCCTCTATATCTTCACCTGTGCCTATTTATCGATCACAAAAGAACTTGGTTTTTGTGCCATTGATGTTTCCGCTTTACTAACCATGCTTTATACTGGTCTTCTTACTACCTTAGCTGTGTCTTTGATATAACTATGCACAATTTTAGCATTTAAATTAGTATGAAAAGGAAAGTGCTAGTGATGTCAATTACGGAAAATCGTGATGCCGATACCAAACCAAATACTAATTATAACCCTGGAAAAATACCGAAACCGAACTTACTTGGGAAACTGAGGAAAATGCCAACTATTTACCGAATTTACAGCCTATACATTACCGACGATTCGTAATACCAACAAAATACCAAATGTATTAGCCTTGAAATACCAAATACCAAGTCGGTATCGGTTTGGTATCGGTATACCAAAAAGTTGTTATCCGATTGACACCTCTAGAAAGTACCTATAGGGAGGCATCTGCAGAACTGAGTGCAGAACTGCAAATGGTTTAAAAAAATCAACGGAAAATGTGTCTGTGCCGGACGATAAGTTATCTGAACATGTTTGCCAAACCAAGCAGGAAAAAGACGAGCGGATATGTTGGTGAAGGGCAAAGATTCTGAAGACAAAGTTCAAACGCAGCTATGTGGTCTGTAAATAGCTGAGTGTTCACTCAATAATACTAATATTTTAGAAGCATAGAAAAATGGAGATGGGGAAATCAAACATATTCGATAGTAGAATGGAGCGCATGAGAAACCAGAAGGGGATATAAAACGCGACGTGAAAGCTGTTCAGGCACTCCAAAACATTATTGAAACGGACCACAGCCTTGCGTGGGAAATGCTATAATATAAGCATCATTAGCATCAGAAAAGAATATGTAAATTACACACATGACTAAACGGGATGTTTCGCATTGTTCAATGTGTGTTGAATGAATTCGCGTGTTTGTGTGTTTAAACACGCGCATTAGGTTGATTTTTATCGGTTCTCTCGCTATCGTGGCATTATCGTCCCAAAAAGTGTTAACTAGTGGGGAAGGGTTCGGGGGGGGGGGGGGAGTAAGGTTGTTAGCTAGAAAAATGCCTATGGTGATGCGCAGTTTACTTGATAAGAATCTGTCTGAACTCTGAGAGTCTGTAGAGATGTTGACCATCCAGTGGTAACTATTGCCGAGTTGTTTTCGTCACCATGAATGCATGCACCGCGCGCCTGCAAAGCGGCCGTCCAGTGCCGTACCCCATGACCACTGGCTGGCGTCAGGTTTAGTTGGTCAAGGCCAGCATAGCCAAACATATAACGCTGTGAGGCACCTGCGCTGATCAGCCGATGGCCGTGAACGTCCAGCTGGTATATGTCACAGCAGCCCAGTTTACTCTATTGCCACAAGACCGATATTTCTGCTAGATCCCACGACCTGCTGACCTCCAATCCGGCACTGGGGTCAGCCAGTACTGGCGAACCGTCTACGGCTCTGACCCAGATGGGTCTCGTTCACGGGAACCGACTGGCATCGCTTCACACTGAGGCCACCGGCGCCCCTGACTCTGTTACCTGCCGGCCCTCCGCGCCGCCCGGCCACGGGGCGTCACGGCGCCAAATGGCGGCTAGTGGCGTTTTTGTGGAGAACAGGCTCGGGTGGGGTGGCTGGCACGTCCGCCCGGCCCGAACGACGCCGGTACAGCGACCGCTCAAGGCCATCCGCCGCCGGGCCGGCCGACTGGGTGGCGGGGCTCCGGCGTCCTGTCTGGGGTAGACCAGCACACACCCTGTTTGGGGCGGACCAGCACGCCAGCGACCCTGTCTGTTGCCAGCCGGCGCATGCAGTGGCACTGTGATAGGCGGACCAACATCTACATACAGCGGCAACTGGCATGTCTGATGTCCGGGACGGGTTAGCAGTTTGCACCGTCCCATTGCGGCACACACGGGGGTGTAATTACTACTACAGTGGCACAGACAAGGGCGAGTCGGCACTGACACTGTCCTTCAGTGACACTTTTAGGGGCGGACCACCAGCGCCCACTTTTACACTGGGCAGTGGCCCTCTCCAAGGGGCAGCATCTACAGTGGCTCTAATTTGGGTGGTCCATTGTCCTTGTGGCGGACTTTTTTTGTTAGCAAATAGCAGCCGTAGTTTTATTGTGGCTGTCTTTGCAGCGAAATGTCGCTGATACTGGGTATTGCTACATAGTGAGGTAGGTCCAAGATAGCAAATGAAAAGGGTTTCCGGATTCACTTTTTACAAGCGCCAGCATGAAAAAACGTAATAAGAAGTCTGAATAGCGGTAAAGTCGCTGGCGAAAGTGCAACAATCGGCCGACACTGATGAATTCAGGCTCACTTCTCGAAAGTGCAAGATATCAAAACATTATACCTCTGAATTGCAATGAGCCATGCATGACGAATGACACGGTGTTGTGTTTATTACTGAGAAACAACTCAACTGAACAGCTGAAGCTTTGTGTTTAGATTTAACATGCCTCTGTATTTGCAAGCTTACAGTATAAGGTCACAGTTGTATTACATGCATAGTTTGTTTGGATTGACATCGTGACCTAGTATGCAGTGCACCAAAAGGCAGCAATTAACCCTCGCCGGACCTATTGGTTTTCTACATACGCGCCGCCCGAGGGGGGGGGGGGCGGGTACGACCCCCCTCGCCGTTTCGCCCCTGGTGGAGCTAGCGCGTCGCGGAAAAAACGAGCGTGTGCGCCGTTACGAGACGCAGAGATTGGTACCCGATTTTAAGGTCCTAGGTCAACCGGTGACCTCTGAGGCCAGGTCAAGTGCCCCAAGGTACGGTTCAGTTTTTGTTGAATAACTTCGCCAAAAACGGTCGCAGAGCCGCGATTTTGGCAGCATCGTGTTCGCCTTGCTCAGGCGCGTCGAATGATATACTTTTTGTTCGGGTCAGGTCAACTTGGGGTGTTGACCTCAGGTCAAGGTCAGGTCAGCACCCCCAGGTCACGAAGTTGGTCGAAAGAGGTCATGTCGCATATCATTCGATTCGGCAGGTCTTCCTGAGTCCATTGGTGGGTTCCGCGACTCGCTAGCTCAATTTGATCAAGAGTTATTGACGAAGAACTAATTTGACTTGATGACGTCATAAATGACGTCACGCAAGGTCAACATTGCAAAAGTGACGCATCTAACCTTGCAAGGAGTGCATCAAATCACGATTCTGTGTGCTTGAGATAGTTGGAGATCGTTCCCGGCGCCAGAATAGCAGTTTTCATTTTTCCCCATTGACTTATAATGGTGAGGTCACGAAAATGACCTGACCTCATATGACCTTTAGGAAAAATCCGAGATATGCAAATTGTGAGACTCATAATGGATACTAGATCCTGCAAGTTTCATTTCCCTGTGACATCTCCTCTGGCAGTGAGGGCGTTGCGAAGTTGCGACATCTGAAGACCGTGCAGAGGTTCACTTATGACGTCATAGGTCAGTGACCTGACCTGACCCAAAAATGCGGTTGGTGTCAAAAGATCCGGCTTGAATCAAGGGTCAGGTGTGCCAAGTTTCAGCTCTCTATCGCCAGCGTGTTCGGAGCTATCGCGAAAAAAACCCTAACGGGGGGGGGGGGCGGCACCCGCCCCCCCCCCCTCGGCCGGCGAGGGTTAATCTATCTCGGCTAATGTCTAATGTTTCGATTGGTAATTCAGCAATAAGAGAAAGTAAGCTGACCTTTCTTTCTCTCCTTCCACTAGCTCACAAATGATGTATGTACCAAGGGCCAGTACAAGTTCTCATATAAGAAAACGGCTTGATTGCTCCTTGGCCATGGTCTTTTACTTGCAGCTATGAACCAACAGTAGAGTCGTCGTGAAGAAACAGTCGAGCATTGAAAGGGTTGGTTTGCACGCTCAGCTTTGCGCTCAACAAAGAGTACCTAAGGTTAGATTAGAACAGCTCTAGTATTGAACACGGTACGCTATGTTTCTGCACAGAACCAGATGACGTCGAAATCAAAACTAATGCATAGGTTAAGTACATAAGTATATTTGCTACATGCAGATCAGCATATCAAGATCAACAAAACCATTTACACGTTTTACGACAGGTCTCTGGAGGTGAAATGACAGCAGAGAACCATTCATTGGCGTCCTTTGTAGCATCTACTCTCATATTGCAAGCGATGACAGGTACGACTTTCAGTAAAATGCCGTATCATTTGTCAATCTCTGTGACAGCTTGGCGAAAACAAGTTCCATGGAGACAGTCTCACCATGGATGGATGACTGATGAGAAAGGCACGCATTACCTGGCAATAAAAATACCAATAAAGCAAGTGTTGATGATAGGTAACTAGTAACCAACTACATGCGAGGAAGCAATACTCTAACACAATAAAACGCACATACATAGAGACACGGCTCAAAATTTACACAGAACAGCCGACAGTCCTACCTATCCATAATCCCAAGTAGCGTACGAGTATGACGAGCGAAACTGAGACAGGGGCAGCGCACACATCTTGACATCAACAATCATTTAGCGCTCGCTCATATAACCGCCACAACCCCCCATGATTGCAGCTTGCATTCAACAGCCTGTGCGGTGTGCAAATAGTTCAGAAATCGCGACATTTTCGCAATCGTTTACGTTCAGAGAAAGCTTAAAAATGATTTATTAATTAGTGCATCCAGTGTGTTTTTTTTCTGATTGAACATTTATACACTATGGATGACATTGGTCACTTGATGAGGTTATGCACATTAGGTCCTATAATGTGCCGTGCCGGTAGCAGAGTACGTTATCAACGCCTTTTGGTCCTTAGCCTTGAGAAAGATCAGTCAAACATTACTTACGATAATACTTGGGCTGACTAATGGGCAGCTGTAGGGTAATGCAAACAAAGGTGCATTGCAAATACAATAATGTCCACCCATCACAATGTCGGATAAACTTAATTAAACTCGCACTATTGAATTATTCAGCTGGTTTCTGACGTCGAATCTAAGTTAAGGTTGATAGATAATATTCTAATACAAAATAGAGAGATAAAGAAAATTATATCCGGCTATATCTACATATCTATGACATAATAAAATGCTGATATGAATTATCTGAAACGACCATCTGCGTGTGGGCGAAGTTATTGCAGTGGAGGTTGCAATCATGCATCGCTTCTCCGGATGGCACCAAGGCCTGCATCTAAGTATGCCCTGCCACGTAACATTCGCGACCAATAGCTGTACAAACATGACTAGAATTCAATGATTGCGATCAACTTTTTGTGAAATGGGGAACCGAGCAGGGCTAGATTTGACTTGACTAGTAGAGTACTAGTGACTTGACCTGACTTAACTATCGGCAAGTACCCTGTTGAATGCATTGGCACGCTAAAACACCTGATACAGCAGAACTTGGAAGAGGAAGTGTGTCCACATAAAATAAATTATCCTTTAGCTGGATGTGTGTCCACTGTCCAGTGTTGTGCGAATATCCGCGATCATCCCATGCTGGCCGGTGGTGTACCCTAACCACCGGGGGCGATTTTTTCGTCGTTATCACCCTCTACCCCATCCCTCTCGGCTTCCCAGAACCCTGCTTTGTTACGACAACCATTAAGCGGTAAGCTCATCAGGAGCTCCATGGCAAATCCCAATGTGACCCACGTGTGTCACATTGTTGCACCATCAATCAGTTATTCCTCTCAAAAGCGCGCATGTTCGTACCTACTGACACACACGCTACAGTAGACGAGAATTATCTTTGGCATAAGGCTGTTGGTCTACAGAACAAACCGCTTAGGGAGCACAATGACTAGCATGGAAGGTTCAATGCCAGCTAACGGCCAAAGGACTAACCGCATGATGGGCTAACTGGGCACACGGATATACGGACATCTAGCACTGCTTAAATAGAATGATAAATGTAAATCTGTTGATAATGAATAAATAATTGGCTACAACTAAGTAGGATTACCGACAGTAGTGTTCAGATGTTCAGTCTCAAACAGCATGTAATAAAACCAAAATCTAGAATTTAGCTGCATCAATGCCGACATCAACACCCGAACTTGTTTTCATAATAAATAAGTACATACCAATAACTAGGATGAAAAGATCGACTAGTCAGAGCGCGTGCACGCTGCACAATGGCGTATCACGCACTCCTTGACCACAGTCACATTTTACCAAACTCGGGAGATCTGCGAGGATTTAGAGACAAAGGTTGGAGCGTGCCAAGATAGTTGCGGTCACCGCCCGTTTAACGACTTTAATTGGCTGCGGCTGCTCCCGCCAACCGCAAATCGCCTTCATCTGAGGAGCATTGAACGCCTGAACGACTGTGATCCGCGCGCCGCCGGGCTCAATGTCAGGCGTATGACGGCCTGCCCACTGAGATACGAGGCGAGCGCTATCCTCTGTTGCAGAACTTCTGATAACTTTGTGCTAGTTTAACTGAAACATTGTTCAAGAAAAACATATAACTATTTACACGTGCATTGTGCTCCTAAAAATGATAGGTTTATGCTGTCTTGTCATACTCGGCAATGAAATGAAAAGCACAGTGTTGCAAGGCGCTTGATAGAGCTTAACTGAAAGCACATAGAATGCAAATGACACTAGAATAAGCGCGACCATCTTTCATTCTTTCAACACACTTTCATTTTTCACTTTCTCACCAGGTAATTCAAGCTTCCGAAATGACCTTCCAATTTGTGAAAATCTCATTCTCATTCAACTCCAAAATTTTGTGTATGTATAGGTACTGTAAAAACGTGGGCAAAGCCATTCATCTTTCATTCGCCGGCATATCATTTCCTTCCTCCTTCCGTTCGTTGTTCTTTTTTACTTAGAAAAATGCTTGCTCACGCAGCCACGCACTCACTCATCCATTCCATTCACACACTCATTCACTCACTCACCCACTCGCCCACTCGCCCACTCGCTCACTCGCTCACCACCCACTCATTCAGTTACTCACTCACAGTCATTATGATCATTCACACGTCATTCAAGTGGTAAGCCACGATCTCTGCGGTACTGACGGTGCTGTTTCCCGCTGGTTCTTTCGGGGCCAGCGGTGCTGCCTCGCCATCCCGAGCGCTCTGTCTGGCAACGTGACCCTCCTGATGCTGACTCTGACCAGTGTGACCACCAGTGGGCAGTCGCCGACCCTGAGCGCTCCTGGCAGCCGGGCCCAAACCACCCTGCTTCCTCATCGCCCGCGCCAGATGCGCCAGGAACATCCGGAAAGCCGTGATGTCCAGGTTCTTAGCCAACAGACTGAGGAAGAAGAAGTCGCCGACCTTGATGTTGCGCACCACGTCCTTGATGTCCTGTGATCGTAGTGTGTGAGCGCGCCGCTGGAAGAGAGGCACGCGGAATCGCTTCACGAACATGAGTGACGTGCGGAAGAAGAAGACGACGCAGGTGATGCAGCTGAGGATGACCAGCCAGAACCAGAGGAAGAGGTACACCTTCTCGTTGAGGATGTTGAGCGCCAGCACGCAGAGGGCGTCCAGGTTCTGCACGGTGCCGGACACGCCGTACAGCTGGAACTCACACTTGGTCAGCTTCGGGAAGGTGAAGGTCAGGGGGCTGACGTCCACCTTGCTCGGGTCTTGGAAGTAGCGAGCACATCGCGGGCCGTAGGTCAAGAACTCATGGTTGATGAAGTGGTCGATAAGAAACATGTTGGCGAACACGTTGACAATGTTTAGAAAATCGCACAAGAGGAAGCGTAAGTAGTAGCCATCGTAGGATCCGAGTGTTTCGTTGACGTACATGCTCAGATTGCCTATCTTCTTCTTGAGCGTGTCTTTGTCCATGTTAGGCAGACGCATGTCATGAACCAGCGCGTGCACCCTACCGTCCTCGTTAATTTCCCACATCCAGTGTGGCAGGTAGAACAGCACGCCCTGTATGAATAAGACAAACGGCACCCACTGGTAATACAGGTGGTACTTGCGGTACTCGTTTGGTTCCTGAGTGCCCAGGCCGTAGAAATCTGCAAAACAAAAGGGCCTTGGGTCAATATTTCAATACCGGAGCGACGGGGGTTTACTCTTCAATACATCGATAACTATTTTTTAAAAGCCAGCCAATCCTAAATGTAGGCGGGACATTTCCCCCAGCACTCTCGCGAGGCATTTCGTGCTTAAAAATGTACGTGTTGTCTGGTTCTGTATCGCTCCTGTAAGAGCCGATATAGACGTTGACAGTGCATTCGTTATCGGTGACCTTCACCTATGGTTATTGGACTTGGCAACAGACATGTGCATGGATCCGAGAGCTGGATCTATGATCTCAGTGGATCTCTCGGCAAAATAGAGGGGTTGGATCTATGATCTGAGTGGATCTGTCGACAAAATTCAGGGGTCGGATCTATGATCTGAATGGATCTCTCGACAAAATTTAGGGGTCGGATCTATGATCTCTGTGGATCCAGCGGGCAAAAATTTGTGGAGGGCCTATGATCTGTATGGATCTCACGACAAGATGTAGCCAATGAAACCCTTATCCTACATAATTTTACACCTTACAATGCAATACAATTGAGAATTGTCACTTGTGGACATGGTTAAGACCAGTTGCAATCATTAAGTATCATCAATAAATTTGACTTTAAAGGGACCCTCCCACCTTCAAAAAAGTTAATGAATTGGCATGAAAGTGATGTCGCTCGGTTCAGAAAGAGCAAAAACGAATATCTACCAAATTTCATCGAAAAATATTCACCGGTTTTCAAGATATTAGACTTTTACTTTTGTTTACTTTTTGGGATCTCCGCTGTTCCTAGCGACTTTATTTGAAAGTGCGGCATTTGTTGCGCGCAAAGCAGCATATACCACCGCGTGCTACAAAACGTTTTAGTCAAACATTTAACGGACGTTCGAAAGCCTGATGACGTCATCAGATTCCCGTAATGGTTAAGAGATAGGGACCACGCTGGTCCCACCCTGCAAGTAAAGGGAAGAAATTTCTTGAACACCATAAAGCTGCGGGGGTTGCGACCAGGATAAATGGTGGTTTCTGAGCCTGGCCGCAAACTTGGCTATCTCAACTCAAAACTAATGTTAAGGTGGGAGGGTCCCTTTAAATAAAGAACATTTGTACTACATTTAATATAAACCAAGAACATGCACATTACTACTTTTTGTGACCAGTTGTAACTTTTTCATGACAGCACTGATGACAATCATACCAACAAGCTACAGCCACTTTAATTCAATGAACAAGCAGTACAGACAGATGCAGTGGCGGCGGGGCACTGCAGACTTTTGGTCCCATTCTTTCCATGCAACGCCAGTAGGGCTAATGTTAAAATGCAAAAATCTATGGGGGGCACGGTGCCCTGGTGCCACCCCCCCCCCTCCCGTTCCGTCGCCTATGGACAGATGTTGGGAAATCAAACCTGGAAGCCAAGAAGGTTAGTCTTGCTCAAAATAATCCAGCAACCCACTTATTCAACCAGGTATGAAAACCCAGTTTCGATTTAGTAAGAGAAAGAGTAGCAACCAACCCAGGGGCGTAGGATCCTATACAGTTGGGGGGGGGGGGGGCTTCAGCCCCCCAACTGGCTGGTCAGCCCCCCCAACTTGCCAGTCAGCCCCCCCAACATTTTAAAATATGGACAAATCAAAGAAAGCTCAACTTGGCAAGGTTAAATGGTACTATTTTGGGGAGTAGTAAAGCAGGCGTCACACTTCTTTCTGCAACCAAGGAGAGACGCTGTAGGTTAGACTGTAGGTTGTAGGCTTTAGGTTTTAGGTGGCAGGTTTTAGGTTGTAGGTGCAGGTTTTTGGTTGTAGGTTGTAAGTGAAGTTAGGCCAGGTTTGGTTAGGTTTGGTTTGGTTTGGTCCGATTAGAAAGCATCTCTGGAGTCTGGGTCTGGGTATAGTGCCTCTCTGCTTTACGACTACCCAATTTTGGCCTTAAAACTAACTGGGGGCCTTGAAAGTGTGCATTGCAATGGAGGGAGTAAATTTAATTTATAAAATGACTTTCGAGTCATCAAAAAGAACATACTAGCAAAACAAAACCAGGAAGGTACACACACATAAAAATCAACTGTGGTTTTAGCAAGCCGGAGGCCGAAGGCCCTTTGCAGAGATGAGGTCCTCTGTGGAGAGGAGGCCCCCTGTAAAGACTAGAGAGGAGGCCCTCTGAAGAAAGGATGCCCTCTGAAAGGGATAGACCCTCAGTAGAGAGAAGTCCTCTGTAGAGAGGAGGCCTTCTGTAGTTGAGAGGCCCTGTGAAAAGAGGGGGCCCACAGTACAGCGGTGGTCCTCTGTAGAGAGGAGGCCCCTCTGTGTGTGTGTTTTTTTTGTGTGCAAATTGTTGTACGCACAGGTCAATACGAGATCGTGACTGTAATTACACCAACCGTGTCAAATTGGTTCGGAATTCATATGTGTACTGTGGAGTGTGAAGGAGCTCCGGCTTGTACTACCATGCTAAAAGAGTTGTAAAATGTGTGATTTGGAGCTTTGTTTTGACAATTACTCTTGTAAATTTTCTCAGCGCTCCGCGCCTCCGATTCTTACACCAATCAATAAGAAAGATCGTGACTGTAATAACACCAACAATGTCAAATTGAATCAAAATTCATATGTGTAAGCTGTTAAGGAACTCCGGCTTGTACTAGCATGCTAAAAGGGTCATAAAATTTGTGTTTTAGAGCTGTGTTTTGACAAATGTTTTTTTTTTGCAAATTTTCGCCGCGCTTCGCGCCGCCGATTCATTAACAGTTAATAATAAGAGAGATCACTACCTTAGCTTCTAATGCATTAGGCTAAAAGTGCGGTAACAATATCAACTTCTGGGTTTTTAAGTCGGTCGATAGTGAGTGAGAAATAGTGAAGAAGAAATATTCACTATTGCCCCCCCAAAAATTGCCCCCCCCCCAGCAACTCGCGGGTTAAACAGTTCGCCAAACTAGGGGATAGGAATCTAAATACTGAATCAATCAATAAATTGAATCTCCATCAGCCTTAACCCGCGCCCCGTTGGGGTCTGCCGAGCAACGCACCCTGCTGGGGGGGGGGGGGCAATTTGGCCCCCTCCCCCCTAAGATCTCGAGAACCACGCAACCTAGCGACAAGCAGCAAATGGCTTTGCATAGCCCCAACAGGGAACTGCCTTGTGACCCAATTTCATTGACCTAGGTCAAACCGATGACGTCAGAGGTCAGGTCAAATGTCGAATTTTCACCGTTTACAGGCATTTCGAGAAATGCGTTGTAAAATCGAGTAAAGTGCATTTCATTGAAAATCATCGATGGGGTATTGTTTGTCAAACACATATTTTGCTATTTAATGTCACTGATACTAGGTCAGGTCACAGAGGTCAGGTCACTGAGGGTCACCATATGAAAATATCATGTTATGCATGTTTTATGGTCCATTTTATATGCCAAATGCGATTTTGTGGGTCAGGCAGCCTTTGGAGTCAGTTTAGATTATGTTCTGGTCAAGGTCAGGTCAAGGTCAGGTCAAGGTCAGGTCAAATTTCAAAGTTAATATTTTTGCATAAAAAGGGTATCTATTTAATGCAGCTCGTCACGGGGAGTTCAATGGTGGTCTTTGTTTTGCGCTACGTGCTCTAGAATTGCCAAAAATTGAGTTCAAAAATTTGACGTCATCAATTTTGAACAGTTTTTTTCGGTATAACTTGGCCAAAAAAGAGGTATCGATCTAAAATTATACACTGAAAACACGATTTACACCCCATTGACACCTTAAGTTGGGATTACACCCACTTTACACCAGATATGCACCAGAAGTACGCCAACCTGATGCCCATTATACACCGTTGTTAGTCCCTGTTTGCACCCATGAACCTTTTTAACACCGCTCATACACCGATCCGCTAAATATACCATCAACACACCAGGCGAACACCCTCGTTGAAACACCATCTGTACACCTAGGTGATGCCCAGATCGGGGTGTAATAAGGGAATAGATCGGGATAAGAACTTTCTGGAAACACCCTTTTTACACTATACGAACACCATCGTTGAAACACCATCTGTACACCATATGGCGATGCCCAGATCGGGGTGTAATAAGGGAATATATCGGGATAAGAACTTTCTGGAAACACTCCTTTTACACTATACGAACACCATCGTTGAAACACCACCTGTACACCTAGGGCGGCGATGCCCAGATCGGGGTGTAATAAGGGAATAGATCGGGATAAGAACTTTCTGGAAACACCCTTTTTACACTATACGAACACCATCGTTGAAACACCATCTGTACACCATATGGCGATGCCCAGATCGGAGTGTAATAAGGGAATAGATCGGGATAAGAACTTTCTGGAAACACCCCTTTTACACTCATTGAACAAGGAAGCAACGCCGTTTTTCGCGCGCTTTCTAACGGCTGCCGACATGACGTCAGCGCGGCCGACCAATGGGAAGCGGCCTAGGCCCCTGCGCGGGCCCTCGGCCGACGTTAACGGCTCAGTTTCGCCGTGACCGCGACTCAGGACGCTCCGACGAGGGGAGCGTCCCAAGTGCTGGGTGGTGAAAAGTGAAAACCTCTACATATTAAGTGGGCTGTGAGTGCGGAGTGCGACGCAGGATCTCCCTCTGGCCTAGCGGGACGCACCACGGTGCCTACCCGCGGCCAGATTCTGCCCTTCCTAGGAGCGGATGGGCAACGACCGCCCAGGTACGCCCTCCACATCGCGTCAACGACTCTCAGCAGCCGACACGCCGTCGAGGAACACCAGGAGCCAGGTGGCTCGCCAGCTACAGTTCGAGCTGGATCGATCCGAAGGCGGTGCCGGGGGCGCGAGGCCCACCCAGCCGGTGCTTCTGGGTGACGACCAGCTGGAACAGCTCGCCCGCCGAGTGGCGACTCTTTTACAGCCGCCCCGGCCGGGCCGCGCTGCCCAGCCATCGCAACCAGACTCGACACCTCGGCCGGGTTCGGCTTCTCAGCGCCCCATGGACGGCCCACCTCCGCTGGTGCTCCCGCCGCCCGAGTTTAACCAGCAGTGGCGGAACTACCTCTCTCAACAGAGGCTTATCAACGAGAACTATCAAACAAGGGACCGCCAAGAAATCAGAGTGCTACTCCTAGCCACTGAGCGGCCCCCGGCCGACATCCAAGACCAGCAGTTCCTTCAAGATAGACTGAAACTGTTCGTCATAGTCGGCCACCGCGGCTGGGCGGCCGCGCTAAGTTTCGTATGCGCTAAGTTTAGTTATGCGTTTCGTTTTAAGTTTCGTTGTAATAAATGTTGCACCAGCTGGCTGACTTTGGTGACGGGTCTGCGAATGAAAAAGGTGGGGAGCGGTGGTGTTGGGGAGCGGTGCATGGATGGTGCTAGCCGGGTGTACCGTGGGTGCTAGGGGAGTGTAGAACAGGAGTAAAATGGGTGCAAAGAGGGTGTAGAACAGGAGTAGAATGGGTGCAAAGAGGGTGTAGAACAGGAGTAAAATGGACGCAAAGGGGTGTAAAACAGGAGTAAAATGGGTGCAAAGGGGGTGTACAACAGGAGTAAAATGGGTGCAAAGGGAGTGTAGAACAGGAGTAATTTGGGTGCAAGGTGGTGTAGCACAAGAGTAAAAAGAGTGCACATAAGGTGCAAAGGTGGCATAAAGCTGGTTCAGGGGGTGTAAACCCGGTACAAGTGGGTATGATACGGGTGTCATATAGGTTTACTGGTGGTGTTAAAAGGGTGCAAGAGGGGTGTATGAACGGTGTTCGACAGGTGTACAGGGTGTATGTTTGGGTTTCGAGAGGGTTAAGATGGTGTTCTTCTGGTCTAAGTAGGGCGTAAAGTGGGTATCGTTTTAGACCACACCCCATTTACACCAAAAAAGGAATCATTTGAGTTTTGAGTGATATTGGTATGTAGATAGAAGAGCGCAGGGAATATCACATATATTCCGGTTTGTTCGAAAGTGAAAAAACTTTTGGGATTTTTTTGCGTTTTTCTAAAAAATCAACTTTTTGAATTTTGGGGGTCGAAATTCCACAATTTTTAAAATCCGAGATAGCAGTTTTGTAGCGCAGTCTTTTTTCTACATGACCATATAATGAACTTTGAAATTGCTTAGTAACTGCAGCTTTTGTGAGCGTTTCAAGATTTTATGTTTTTTGCTCATTTTTGCTCGAACATGACCTCAGTTTGACCTCAATAACTCCTGTCATAAGGTGACCTAAGACTTGAAATTTTGTGTGAAGGTGTCAAGTTGATGCCCGGTAAGGTACCTACTAAAAATTTGGCGGCGCGTAGCGCCGCCGTTTTCTTGTTATTCAGGGAAAACCACAGGGGGGGGGGGGCAAATTGACCCCCCAGCGGGGCGAGGGTTAAGTATAAGAAGAGCATACATATACTGTTTTAGTGGCATCACTTCGCATTTGAAAAGAGCGGGAACATAAACTGCATAAATGTGGACATGTGGTTGTAAAACGTTGAGCCGGAATATAAATAATACCTACGCCTTATTTTATAAGCCTGAACTTGGATGCAGCGGGAGAGATTAAGTCATATCACTCAAGTCATACACCCGCTTTTCACCACCACGGTCCACGCTCCCCCCCCCCCCGGTCAACACCTTTTCCACTGCTGGTTCCCCCCCCCCCCCCGACAGCACCTTTCGTCGCCGCCCCCACCGGCGTCCGTGGCTCAGCCCCCCCAACCTATTTTGCGATCCTACACCCCTGAACCAACCTCTAATACTTTCCTAATAAAATTCCAAATTCAAAAGAGGCATTAACTTCTTCAGATTACCTACTTTGGCAACGTGCCAAGTGCGGTGCCATGCTGCTGTCGTAATGAGAGCCTCCCAAAAACGACAAACGAAATTCACAGCTCACGTTTTGGTAATATTGTTTTATTACGTCATTATCGTTTTACCAATGAAAAATCTTAATCTGACTAAAACCGTAATGATTCCAAAAGGTTCCCCGTTATAGGCCCTTTTGACTAATGACGTAAGATATTGTGATTTTTTGAAAAGTGAATAAAAAAGATGCAAGGCGCACTTGTACCTAGCACTCGCGCAATGAATGTCTCCCGCTCAAGGGCTATGTAATATTATTTCAGCTTACGTGTACGTCATTAAATTCAACGCTACAAAGATGATATTCACGAACAATCATAACGTAAAATTATGTGAGGCAGAAAAAAATGAACATTATTTTGACGAAAAAAACAGATTTTTGAATTTCCAGTTTGATTTTTTATTTATTATTATTATACTCAAAAGTAGAACACTTAGCTCATTTGTTATTTGAAATGACGTCACCAATTCTATTTAGAGACTGAATAGTCATTTTACGGTATATATCCAAGGCCATTACAATTGATATTTCGCTTCCCCAGCGTGTTCCCCAGGCTGTTGAATATTTTTATACTTTTGTTGATATCTCAGTTTATTTTATCAAATATTAGTTTCAATAGATTGAAATACCTTTACCTAGCCAAGCCACAGGTGTCAATATCATCTTTTATTGTTTATCAATTAATTGTGTTAGCTGGAAAGCCTCATGGTTGTCTAATGCAAGATTGTCTTATCAGTATGTAGATTCTAACATTAATTGTGATGTACCTAGTAATGTATTCTTCATTAGTCATTACTTACCTGTATCTTAATTGTTAATGCAAACTTTTCTGTTGGTATGATTGTGAACAATCTTCATGTCACTCAATTCACTCAAGTTGTGGCCGTCATGAGCCTCCTTTATTTTATACCTATTCTATATAATGTAACTGGATGCCCTTTACTAATATGGCCTTTGTATAAGATTGTTTGTTTCTAACCATACTTTGGTATTTATAACTTCTTTATGCAAGAAAGTTTAAACATTTTGTGCACCTTTGAGCTATGATCCCAATGGATCTCACGACAAAATTGGGGAGCCAGATCTATGATCCGAGTGGATCTATCGACAAAATTGAAGGGTCAGATCTATGATCCCAGTAGATCTCTCGACAAAATTGAGGGGTTGGATCTATGATCTGAATGGATCTCGGATCGGGATCCATGGGATCGGATCTCAGATCCATTTTCCCGGATCCAAGCACATGTCTGCTTGGCAATGCTATTCCCTAAATGACATCATTGACCATAATGGAACAAATGGTTTGCTACATTATTGAGCAGAGCTATACAGATAAACAGGTATAGAGGTAGGTATATAAAGGTCTATAATTGAGCATACACTCAGGGACTATTTTAGGCAAAACACCCCCAGACACTTACGGCTCTCGAAGCCGATTTTGCGCATGGTGACGGCGCTCTTGTTGGGCAGCGTGTATGTGCCGGTAATCCAGCAGTGGGTGTCGATCACCTCTTTGCTGATGCCCTTCTCCTCGCAGTCGCGGCAGAAACAGTTGATCGGGTGCCCGATCAGACTCGTCGTCGTCGACAGAATGGAGAATCCTGCGGCGACAGAAAAGGGCGACACGTGCTGGTGACACGTTCATGATACAGCAATTGGGTGTAATGTTTTTCAGTGGATATGGCACACGCTATTGTTTGACGTTCCATTTATGGACATATTTCCTAAGGTCATCAATTCAATCTGCGGTGATGTGTTGTCGAGCTTCATCACTATTGAAATTGGCACAAGTGGGTAAAAGAAGTCTTACCATTAAACAAAAACAAGAATGCTGCAATGTGATATCTGTGTGGCTAAATAAAGTCTGTTGGTGACTTAGTGGTTGCTTGCTTGGTCGGGAACGAAGCACTTTCGGCCTAAAAAGGCTATCGCAGAGCTAAAAGATGATAGGTTAGAGTGAATACTGGACTGAGCTGACCACCAACTGTGTGCCGCAGTGGTGCAGAGACCGTCTCGGTGCGCTGGAAATATTCCGATGGGACAGTCCGCCCTGCCACTCCAACGGTCACCCAGGAGAGGAAGTGGTCCTGGTGTGGAACTGTCTTCATTACCGGTTTTCTGGTGGAGGTGACCGCCAGCCCGCGGAAAGAAAGGCGCGAGGGGACAATGATGCATTAGTTCTGCATAGAGGTGGCAAAATGTGGACCCGAGGACCCGGTCCAAAGAACCAGTCTGGACCCATATGGGTCCAGACCGGTTCCTGGAAATTTTATGACGGGTCCAACCGGGTCCTACCATAAACTTTACATCTTGCACACTACACATTATTGCAAAATATGAAGTGAATTAAGTGAAAGTTTCTTTGCACACAGTAGCTCATGAGTATTCCCAATTGGAAATAGGCTGTTTCACATGATGCAACTGCCAACTAATGATACCTACAAGTAGTTTGTACTAATTGACTTTTGGGGAACGGGTCCAAATGGTTCCGATTCCAACTAAGACCGGGTCCGACTGGTTCCAGAAATGTCCAACCGGGTCTGGTTCGAGTCTGGTTCCCAAAATTTTCATCTTTTGCCACCTCTAGACTTCTGCAGGAAGGCAGGGACGGATGTGGATGGTAACTTTATTTGTAGCTAGTATAGAAGAAAGCCCATGTCGAGTTAGGTATGGTCTGGGTTTACTCTAATTGCTATAAAAGCCTATATGTATGTACGCATGTGTTGTATGTATTGACATCAAAGCCTTTCACATATGGCGGGGCGATTACGGCTTATTGAAAGCCCATGTCAGTGGGCGTGTTACTCGTTCATTGCCAGTCCCGTAGATGATCGGTTGGTAGAGCGTAGGTTTTGATATGCTCCTGCACTCGATTTCAAGAAACTCCTGACGGGGATGGTCCGCGACTGGTGGGAGAAGCTGTAGGTAGCCAGTTGAAGTCAGTCAGTGTATAGCCCAGCTTTCATTGACGCGCCAAATTTCGGCATCCGAAGTCTTCCTATACCTGGAATTGTCCCGATTTGAAGGTAGGGGTCGGGTCCGATGCAACGAGCTCTACTTATGTAGAGTGGCTTCGGCTCTGTCAATCCGTCCATTCAAACATTCGAGCCAAATCTGTATGAAAAATGCAGCCACTCGTCCATTCCACTGGATTTCTCGTTCAGCGCTCAGCCAGGCCATCTTCAACATGATGGAATCTGATCAACTCTGAGTATAGCCACCTCCTGCCGTGGCTCAGTTGACTCCATATCGCCCTAGCTCGTGGGTTCCCGCCCCCTTATTTCCCTATGTTCCATTCCGCCCTCAGTTTAGTGCATGGGCTCCATCCGCCCTCAATCCGGTCAACCACACCCTTGTTCAACACTCAACTCCCTTCAGTTTCGCCACTATCAGCTCACTTACGTCTGACATACACACGTGTGGGGGAGAGTCAGGCGTAGTATGACTCCTGCGTGCGTTATTGATCGGTAGTACAATGTGTGTGTGCAGGACCAACAAAGCCATATGGGTGTCACTCACGCAACCACCATCGCCGAGTGCGGGCCCGCACACAGACGGGCGTTACATAAGGCCGCAACTGAAAGTATAGGGTGGGGTAGAACTAGATACGCACGTAAGCACACTCAAAGCAGACAATAGTTCAGACATAAGAGCTAGTTCGTCAGCAATTTGCAAAATCCTCGCCAAGCAATGATTTTGACAACACAGAGGTCGGTGACTTATTTTTGGTCGGAGCCCGATGAAACCGTCACGAAGTGTCGAGAGGCAGCCCGACTCATGTTATAACATTCACATTTTCCCATACACGACAACCACATTCAACGTTTGGAAAACATGACGACGTAATACAAAGATTGTTTAGCTAATAACAGCTAGGTAGAATGTTTATGTTTTGTCCTGGGTTAAAAAGTGAAATAGACACTATTGGGCACACTGTGCCATTAGGATAAAAGAGCATTTATTTTTTTCTGCCGATGATATGTCGCGGGCCGGATGACTTCAAAGGCGCATTCGACCTGCGGGATGCTTTTCAATGGGTTACCAATCGACAATTTAGATATCTACATGAAGATGAGGGGTGGTGTCCCCTCGGCTCTCCGAATGACGGATGATCTGTTAACACTTATCTGATGAGATGTATAACGATGGCTGCATATCAGTAGTGCATTCGATGGCCTCTGCGGCAAAGGAAATTTTTCACCTTATGCACCTATATGGTAGCTATATCTCAAACAAAATCCGAAGGGTGGCGGCAAACCTTTTTGAATTCTGGTTGCCACTGGGCACGGGAATAAAAGAAGCAAAGTGACGAACTAAAAAGGTTAAGCCTGAGCAAAGCATCTTTCGTATAAAGAAATGCGCCCCACGTTAAATCTTTTTTATTGCCGTTACGTCGACCATTCGCGGTTGGCTTTGACCGGAAGATTGTTCCACGTTGAGTGATCTTGTACGGATTCTCATGCATTATTTACGTCCTTCGTAGCCAATGAATATGTTATTTCTTGTTACACGAATAATACGGTAATACTGTCAGTGCTATCACGAGGCTTCTTTCTTTATATTTTGTCAAATAACACCTTCGCTACATACATCTCAAGGTGTCAGATCACACAACATTATTTTGCTTAGGTACCCGGTATTGCATACCTACGCAAAACACATACGGTGGGATTAAAGCCCCACCCTCTGGGTATAAGGGCTGAAAGAAGCCCTATGACGTGCTTTGTGTCAGGTATCCACAGCGTTACTGGGGCAAAACGTGTCCTGTGAAAATCTGCTTAAGTGCCGCTGATGATCCCAATCGCTATGTCAAGTACTGACGCGGGGCACAAATAAATCCATAAATCGTATATGAGTGCAAACATTGTGATCAATGGTTGGTCATGAGTTGTGGCGAAAGAGACTGACATGACAAATAGTCTCGCCAAAAACGAACTTTTGGTAGATGGCTTCCAATCACAGGCAATGCAAAGAGTTCATGGCAAGGTGGATCGGATCGACAATCGACATTCGACATGCAGTCACCCCAATCTCACCCCTCCCCTGGGCGTCAACAATTTAAGAGAGAGGACTGGGCGAGGTCTGATGCCTAGCAAACATGTGCAAGCCAGAACTCGGACAACTTAATCCCAGAAAACCTGATTGTACACAAATTCCAAAGAAATGGGTGGCATACATAGATACTGTTGTTGTGACGCAATTTCTGAAACACCTATGCATCTTATCAGCAAATTCGTTTCCTATAGATGCAAAAACCCCTCAGGGTGCTGATGCCTGAGCAAACTGTGCGAAAGAGAAGTGTACTCCATTAGCCATGAGCTGTTACCTGAAGGATACTGAATGTCAAAAGACTTATATTGATGCGGATAAGGACGGCATGTGTTCCGGTGACTGTTTTCGGTGAAGGCTGCATTATACAACTGCCGGTAAACTTACCGAGAAAGAGGAAGGTGGTGAGTCGGTAGTGGAGCTGGAACACCTTGTTGTCAATGTTGACCTGACCGGGCATTTTGCCCTTGATGGTCATCGCGACATCTCCCATGAGGCTGGTGATGGCCATGGCTGGTGATTGGTGTCTTCTGTCTCTCCTCTTTGGTCACAAACAGCTGCTCTAATGCTCACTGGCGCGCACTCCTGCAATGATAAAACAAACACAGTCATATATTTATTACAGTCATAACGCAATGGATTAAAGGTAGACTGCCACCTTTTTTCCACAAAACGGTTTTCACTAGAGCTGAGCCACCTATGTCCCAGACTGAAGTCGGTTTTCCGAAATTCGAGCCCGTTTGCGAGAAATCGGAGACCAAAGTTCAGTTTGATGCCATTTTTTTAGTCCAAGAAAACCGACATCTCTACCTGTTTATCGATAACTTTGAAACATGAATTTTCTTATCTTTTGGTAAATATATGTCAAAACTTTGATTGTTTCGAGATCAGAGAAGAATTTTGGAGTGTCAAAATAAAAGTTAAACTTATATATTCAGTAGTTCATTTTTTCCAAAAAAGTGTGGGAAATGGGGTTTAACATGGGCGCCAGACCCATTCCAAATGAGCCATGATTTTTAAATGTTTTACGAACTTAAATGCAAAATAAATTAAACATGGCCAATTTCTTATGAAATCATATATTAGTAAATCATAAAATACCTTACTTTTTCAAATAAAATATAATAATCTTATGACCTTGAAGTCTAGTGATGTGTAAACATTGTCGCTAGACATTAACCGATTGATAATTGTATGATAATCGACAATTTTTTTCGCGATTCACGTGATGATACTTTGTCAGGTGAATTCTAAAATTTTGTTTTGTCCAGGGAATAAATCATAGGCCGATCTGAGAAAACTTTTTGAAGGTGGCAGTCTTCCTTTAACGATCAATCGTTGATATGGGCTTTGGAAGCGGACCCTCCACTTCCGCACGTGCGAAGGGTGGCCCCATCTGACTTAGATGGATCGACCATCCAAAGGGCCCCTAACAGCGTACCGAATTTGAGCGCAATCGACCCAGTGCACTGCTGAGATGCAGAAGCAGCCACTGCACGTGCGGTAAGTGAAATCTCAGGATGTGAGGCTTGCGAATCACCAACAGTGTGCGAGCTTTGTGCGTAATTGTCCCAGAAGCTCTTTAAATGTATAATAGAAACGGGCCCCGCACGGGCGCACGTGGTCAACAAAGTTTTAGTTGGACTCACTTTGCACGCACAACAAACTTAACACAAACCAACATCAGGCCAGGTCAGTCACCTCCCCGTCAGGTCATTCACCTCACTGTTTACAAATGAATGCTCAGCCAGATCCACATACTCACGTCTGCTAGTGAGCCCACTGCGTATTTCCGCTACAGTCCTCTCAAATGACACAGCTCGGCGGGCGCTGGCGCCGCGCGCGCCACTGGCCACGCTCGCTGGCACGGCCCACATCGTACCTCTGGGCCACATGGACCGTCGATGCTGCCCGTCGATCGATCGGCGCGTGGTGCGCAGCTCTCGTCGGCGCCGACGCAGGGGCGGCGCCGTCGGAGGCCCGCTGGCCGTGACCGCGACCCGCCCGACGCGTGACAGCTCAGCGGGGGACAGACGGACGGACGGTGACGTCATAGAGGACCGAATTACAGTGACGTCATGGAGAACCGAATTACAGTGACGCAAGAGGACCGTCGAACGATGACGACAGATCTGAGTCACCCAATTCGCCCATGCGGGTGACTGAGGTGGCCTCCAATTGTTGCATAGGGATTAACTCACACTTTTTGTCTCGGATTAACTTACCACGATAACTGTATGAAATAAATCGAGTAGTGACGTTTCAATGTCATCTATTGCAACTGATGCACAGCATCCTGCTTAGCAGTAGCGATGTTTACCTCTGCCTGTTCAGCATTTGTGGGGTATTATGGTTGTTTAACGTTCTTAACCCCATCGGACATTCACTAATTCCTGTGACACTTCGTTTTAATTCATCCGTAAGTCATGCACGCTAGGGTGCCGTGATTCTTATCGGCTGAATAAATACTCGTGCATGTTTTATACGTGTTACTGTAAAATCAACACGTGACTGATGCGAGAGTGTGGCGTCGCATAGATCGGGTGCACAACACACATACCTATACATTCGAGCAGATGCTCACATTTCTCACCCAGCAACACGGCACGTTACCGGATTTTGTTATGTTCAAAAGGAGGGTGCAGGCATGCATTTCAGCTTAAGATTGCACTTAAGTCTCGTATCACGGTTGGAAAACACCACGACACCGAGGCTCCAGTAACACGAATGGTGAGAGACGACCGGTGGGGTGAGGTAAGATGAGGGCAGGGGCGAGAGAGCGCCCTTGTGGCAGTAGTCATCGTTTGTGGTTGTGTGTCTCGAAAAAAGCTCCGATAATTTAAATAGACCTATGTGTCGCTAGATGGTTCTCCCAATTCATAACGCTATGGTCAAAGCAATTTAGTCCCGGCGAATCGTCTTCGCAAGCATAATGGCGAGGCATCCAATGGCCGTGGCCCGTAACAAAAGCAGTGCCGGTGACAGAGCACTGTTGGCGACAGTCCACTCCCTTAGGAGCCGCCGCTGCACTGGTGACTCAACCTGCGTATGTCGGTCTCTGGGGAATCGCCAGAGTCAGGAGAAAGATGGCACTGCATCACGAATTCCGGCCCTCAAGACTCGCATGGGATGGCTGCCCAGTTGCGTCTATGGATTTGGCGAGGCCGGAGGAATATATACTTTAGAGCAGGCTGCTGGCGATTGATTGAATCTCAAAAGCAGCGAAGATTTTGAAACGGCTTCTTCGGACCATTCACACTGTTCCACCCACCTGAATATGCCTGGTGTCATCCTTCTCTCCTTCACCAAATGACTGAGCGTCAACCACATTTTGTGGCCGAGGTTGAGAGGACCAACTTCAGAGCTATAGACAGGATTGTCCCGCCTCACAGTTAGGAATAGTTGGCCCCACCGAACGGTCAAGACCTCACAGTCGGGAGTCGGGACCCTGTAGTCCCACATCACAGAAGTTCCGTGTGATCCGTCTCCGGAGCGATCACACTTCAGAGTCAATAGTGGGTGATCTCGCCTCTCGGAAAGTCGATGGGCAGCGCCGAGTCGTTTACCCTCGTCGGCCCTTCGGTGTCGCGCGATGCTATGCGAGTCCCGCGTCACTCCGCTCTGGCACTGTGCCCTTCGGTCAAGGACACGTTAGCCGACCTTGGTCAGTTCAACGCGGTGACCGGCCCCGCTCGTTGCCGTCGCTGCCGTCACCGTCATACTCCCAGCTACCCCTGCCGTTGAGCTAGCTCCGCGACCTCCCTCGTAGAAGGAAAGGGAAAAGTGCAGTAGTCAACGGCGGCCTTACCTGTCGCTATCCAAACCGTGGACCGACTTCGCACCTCCGTCTGGCACTGCCACACAACTCACAACCGGTCAACGAAGACACGCACGGTCTCAGCGGCACAGTCCAGGGCACAGCGTTCGGCAGCTGCACCTCCGCGGGGCGACGTTTCACACTCTGGCTACCGACTGAGGAGCCGATTCATGGGGCCGCTGAGGATCTGGCACCCGTCCTGGGCACCGTGCCACCGACAACGACCAACGGCTTTCAGACCCTGCCCTGTTTATCAAACGCCAGGAATAGACTTCGCTAGGTGAGTCGTCGGTGCCAGCTTACCTGACCCGGAGACCTTGACCTAGAGCGATCCTGACCAGGGCCTCGTTTCATAAAACTCTGCCGTAACTTACACCTTTCCGTAATTCACACCCTTTCAAACTACGGAGCGCAAATGAAGCGGTTTCACAAAGCCACAACTGGAATTGTTTACACCTCCGTAACTAAGCACATTTGCGTAGTTGCCGTAATTTATCAAGCGTCCTACAAATTACAATTTCGTGTCAACACTTATTTTTTACGAGAAATTATAACACAATTATGTTGAATTTTAATCTTAAAAATTATTTATGAAAAAACAAAATTGATATTGATGACCATCCGTTATTAAATCAATATATTGAAAACAGCAGAAAGCCAGCTAAGCAGAAGTGCCTTACTACGAAAGTGGCGCGGCGCGGCGAATAAACAAAATTCCGATAGCTGCCACAAAAAGCGACTGGTACAGAAGATTTACAGTTTCTTTTTGTCATTTTGGCTGTTCTTTCTTCCTCACCGGGCTCAACATGATAAAATATATTAAAAATTAGCTTCGAATCTTCACATTAATTCAAATTCACGCAACATTTTTGCGCGTAGTTTACACCACTGATATCAAGAACTTGATAAAATATTTGGCGTTAATTACGTCGTTTTATGAAACCCAAATGGCATCAATTGGTCCGGATTCGAGCATTTGCCGTAAATGAAGCTCCGTAATTTCGATGGCGTGAATTACTCCGGTCTCCGGCTTTATGAAACCGAATTGGCATCAAATACGCCAAATCTGTCATAATTGACGGAACGCCGTAAGTAATTCCTTTTATGAAACGAGGCCCAGGAGCAGCTCCGACCAGGGCCAGGGGTGACGTTGACCAGGGCCTCGTTTCATAAAAGGAATTACTTACGGCGTTCCGTCAATTATGCCAGATTTGGCGTATTTGATGCCAATTCGGTTTCATAAAGCCGGAGACCGGAGTAATTCACGCCATCGAAATTACGGAGCTTCATTTACGGCAAATACTCGATTCCGGACCAATTGATGCCATCTGGGTTTCATAAAACGACGTAATTAACGCCAAATATTTTATCAAGCTCTTGATATCAGTGGTGAAAACTACGCACAAAAATGTTGCGTGAATTTGAATAAATGTGAAGATTCGAAGCTAATTTTTAATATATTTTATAATGTTGAGCCCGGTGAGGAAGAAAGAACAGCCAAAATGAGAAAAAGAAACTGCAAATCTTCTGTACCAGTCGCTTTTTGTGGCCGCTATCGGAATTTTGTTTATTCGCCGCGCCGCGCCACTTTCGTAGTTAGGCACTTCTGCTTAGCTGGCTTCCTGCTGTTTCCAATATATTGATTTAATAAAGGATGGTCATCAATATCAATTTTGTTTGTTCATAAATAATTTTTTAAAGATTTAAATTCAACATAATTGTTTTATAATTTCTCGTAAAAAAATAAGTGTTGACATTGGGCCTCGTTTCTTAAAGCTCTGCCGTAACTTACACCTTTCCGTAATTCACACCCTTTCAAACTACGGAGCGCAAATGAAGCCGTTTCACAAAGCCACAACTGGAATTGTTTACACCTCCGTAACTAAGCACATTTGCGTAGTTACCGTAATCTATCAAGCGTCCTACAATTTACAATTTCATGTCAACACTTACTTTTTTACGAGAAATTATAAAACAATTATGTTTAATTTAAATCTTAAAAATTATTTATGAAAAAACAAAATTGATATTGATGGCCATCCTTTATTAAATCAATATATTAAAAACAGCAGAAAGCCAGCTAAGCAGAAGTGCCTAACTACGAAAGTGGCGCGACGCGGCGAATAAACAAAATTCCGGTAGTGGCCACAAAAAGCGACTGGTACAGAAGATTTGCAGTTTCTTTTTCTCATTTTGGCTGTTCTTTCTTCCTCACCGGGCTCAACATTATAAAATATATTAGAAATTAGCTTCGAATCTTCACATTAGTTCAAATTCCCGTAACATTTTTGTGCGTAGTTTACACCACTGATATCAAGAACTTGATAAAATATTTGGCGTTAATTACGTCGTTTTATGAAACCCAAATGGCATCAATTGGTCCGGATTCGAGCATTTGCCGTAAATGAAGCTCCGTAATTTCGATGGCGTGAATTACTCCGGTCTCCGGCTTTATGAAACCGAATTGGCATCAAATACGCCAAATCTGGCATAATTGACGGAACGCCGTAAGTAATTCCTTTTATGAAACGAGGCCCAGGAGCCGTCCTGAACAGGAGCAGCCAGAGGCGGATCCAGCTCAGAGGTTTGGGGGGGGGGGGGCAAACCATAAAAATTTATCGATTCTTTCCATGCATCGCCCATAGGCGTAATGTTAAAATCATGCCGTTTGGGGGGGGGGCAAATGCCCATTTTGCCGCCCCCCCCCCTGGATCCGCCACTGGGAGCAGCTCCGACCAGGGATGACCTTGACGAGGAGCACTCCTGAACAGCAGGAGCAGCTCCGACCATGGTTGACGTTAACCAGGAGTGATCACTAAGTGCGATGCCTTTGACCAGGAGTGACCTTGACCCTTGACCCTGCTCTAGCTTTGAGCAATGCTGGTCCTGAGCAAGGCCGTATAAGTCCTGAGTGATTTTGATTTTCCCAGAGTAGATTTGCCCGAAGCAGCCCGATGTTGACTCGAAGGGGCCCTCTCACCCAGCAGAACCATGTGCTAGAACAATTCTGTTCCGAACAACTCTGAACTTGGACAGTTCGGTCCTGGGGGACACAATTCCTAACGAATGCCGCAAAGCAGCTCATTGGCCGCAGGCCAAATGCATCAGGCTCAACTGTCATTTCTTCACTTAGGCCATTCACAGGCTCCATGATATTTTTATGTTCATGACCACTATCATGGTTACCGTTCGGAACGATTGAACCGATTTTTATGGCGTGTTTCCATCGCTTGTTTCTTTCTTGGCTCTCGAATACCGTGGTCAAAATATCTAACAATACCTAAGCCAGCAACATACCTATATTGTCATTGCCTTCGCTTTGGGCCGACTTCTCGCTTCGCGAATATTGGTGATAGCTCTCTAACGCTTAGAGATAGTAAGCCTAAACTTTTACAACCTTTTCTTCCATCAGTTTGGCACCTTTTGAAGTAAAGAAGTTGGACCTAGCCGCCTTGATGACGTCACAGAGTCGATTTCGTAGAACCCTGTACGACAAACTTCGGAGTCATAGATTAACTTCAAATAGCTGCCAAAAATGGAGTTGAAGAGATAAAGACAAATTACGAGGACGGTTGTGTAGTGTTCGACCTAGGGAAAAATAGAAAAATAGTTATGATGACCTGGGGTCAGAGGTCAGGTCAACGACCCCGAGCTGAGGTTTTAGCTTTTGCGAATAGCTTATACAAAAATAGTTATAAAGCTATGGCAGTGGTACCAACGCATTCGCCTTGTCAAGCTGCGTCGAATACCACATATCTTGTGACTTTTCACTCATCAATTTTACACATGAAGTGCAAGTTTGAACCTCTTACCTTTCAAGGTCAGGTCACCAGGTCACTTCGAATGACCCAGCCTCAAATCACTTTTTGCAACTTTGTCACCGTGTCAGAGCTACAGTCTAGATGACGGAGGCCTTTGAAAGTCTCAGAATGTAGCGAGGTCATTAGAAGCTATAATTTTTATACCTATCTCGGAATTTTGATATCGATGACCTACTTTACTATCATGCATTTTGACTTGTACCCACCTAATTGTGCAAATATGAAATGTTGACCATTTTCCTAATGCAAATTCAAGCGAGGTAGCCTAGGCTGGCCCCGGTGAGAGCAACAGCGCAGGCAAGTCACACTGACACAGCTAAGGATGCCTCATCAGAATCTTTTATCTTGTGTACGTGGTAACGGTCTCTTTTAGATGACCTCAGTCCTCAGCGGAGCATTCGGACTTTGGAGCAGAGGAAACACGTCCCTATTTTGTTATGAAGAGAGATGGAAGAGAGAGAGAGAGAGAGAGAGAGAGAGAGAGAGAGAGAGAGAGAGGGAGAGAGAGAGAGAAAGAGAGAGAGAGAGAGAGAGAGAGAGAGAGAGAGAGAGAGAAGGGGGTTGAGTGAGAAGAGGCAGAGGGAGGGAGAGAAAGAACAAACACATGATAAGGCGTGCCAGATGAAAAATAAGCCTGCTTCTGTCTGATGTAGGTATTTACGCTCCTTTTAAACACAGACATTAGGCAAGACGGGGACTGTAGGAGATTTTTTATGCATGTTTCCAGACTCTGGAAAATGCACGGGTAATTAGCGCAAGATGGCATATAATTACAACACAACAGCCACCTCCATCTGTCTGTCTTTCCTAAATCTCTGTCTGTTGGCGTATGTCTCTCTCTCGCTCTCGCTCTCTCTCTCTCTCTCTCTCTCTCTCTCTCTCTCTCTCTCTCTCTCTCTCTCTCTCTCTCTCTCTCTCTTTCTGTCACTCTCTCCCTTTTCTCTCTCTCTCTCTCTCTCTCTCTCTCTCTCTCTCTCTCTCTCTCTCTCTTCCTCCCTCACACACACTCCCTCCCTCCCTCTTTTTGTCCTCTCTGCCCCCACACTCCAGCGCGGCGTCTGCACGGCCGAGGGTCGCAGGGTCTCTCCATCCATCACCGCGCCCGCACCGGCGCTTCTATAAACAGACGCCCGCAGCGGCAGCCCCAGCGCCCGCCTCCGGCCGCGTCTGCGACCGGCGCGCTCCTTGTCTGCCCGTGGGTCGGGGCTGCTGACCGCCCCACGCGCTGAGCCCTCTCACACGTGCTCGTGGTCAGACGTGGCAAACAGTGGCAGGAGCTACACGTGTGGGTAGCACACAGGCAGCCGAGTGGTG